AGAGTAACAGAAAGCCACATTTGCTAAATGGGAAATTGGGAACCAATGAATATCTGATAATTTACTCCACTGTCTTCTTAGATTTCACAAAGTAATTGGGTGAGTTTAGGATCAGGAAATGTGAATTGAAACCTTTATCTTTTTTTTTTTTTTTTTTTTTTTGAGACAGTTGTCTGACTCTGTCACCCTGGGTAGAGTGCCATGGAGTTAGTTCACAGCAACTCAAACTCCTGGGCTCAAGAGATCCCCTTGCCTCAGCCTCCCAAGTAGCTAGGCCTACAGGTATCTTCCACAAAGCCTAGTTTTTCTGTTTTTAGTAGAGACGAGGGTCTCACTCTTGCTTAGGCTGGTCTCAAACTCCTGAGCTCAAGCTATCTGCCCACCTCAGTCTCCTGAAATGCTAAGATTATAGGTGTGAACCACTGTGCCTGGCTTGAACCCTTCTTCTGATTAAAGTGGAAGTCATTCAGAAGTTTGTCATATAATGTTCCTTTATTTTTATAAAGATGTTTTATATGATTTGTAAATAAAAGGTTAGAGTTACAGTTATTCAAAAACTATACATTTGTTAAGTGGATTAATTGATGTTCATTCACCTGGAGGTATGGTTTATCAAGCAAGCTTGACCCATTTCTGTTTAGTAGTTATTTCACTGGAAACTTGGTGATATCATAAGCTTGCTTGTGTCCCAATCCACTCAGCCCACAGTAATAAAACATGAAGATCCCACGAATATATTACACTTATTTTCAAGACACAGAAATATAGTATAAAAGTAATAGCCTAAAAGGTAAAAAAAGGTTAAATAGGGCGGCACCTGTGGCTCAAAGGAGCAAGGCGCCGGCCCTATATGCCAGAGGTGGCGGGTTCAAACCCAGCTCTGGCCAAAAACTGCAAAAAAAAGAAAAAGTTAAATATAAAACTGGAAAAGAGTAGTTAGAGACAAGATGATATGTGACAAATCATAGAGCAAGAATAGGGACCATCTAACAGTAGCAGTTCACTTGAGACCAAAAGAAAACACAAATGGAGACCAAACTAAAGGCCTTTTTTGACTACAAGATTAATAAGAGACAATGTTAAACAACTTTTAAGTCTTATTTGCAATTGCAATTGCAAGTAATTAGATGCTGATATTTCAGCTGGATAGATTATATCTAGCCGATGTCCAATTGTAGCGGCACAGTTTCCGACAAAGATTCTAGAAAGACAAATAATTTGGTTGGTGCTGAAAGAGTCTAACAGAAATTAAAGATGTTGAATCCAGAAATTTGAAGACGATGGGATAATATATACTTGAATTTTTAAATTTTGAAGGGATGTCAAAGATAAGATAGTGCAGCTTCAGAAAGCAGAAATTTAAGTAGAGGCTCCAACAATCAGGTGAGTGGAAATTACAGAAGAGCAAGCCTGAGCTTCATATAAAGAAAAAAACATTCTAATAAGGAGTCTTGTCCAAAATAACTTTGTGATGGTCCCGAGAGTATTCAACAAGTGAAGAAATCACACTTAGTCTTTGCTCTTCGCATAGTCCTCCTGGGATGGCCCTGGATTTTAACCTTGTTATGAAATTATAATTGACTTATTTTTCAGTCCTCTCTCAGAGGGATGTCTTTCTCCAAACTTCTAAAAAACTTTTTACTGCAATTGTCTGAAATAGTTTCATGAGGTTGGGAAAAACTAAGACTACCATGGATGCTGGCTGCTTCTATTTTTGTAGGTCATCAGGGATCAGGGAATCTTTATGTTCATCCTGAATTTCCATTTTGCTACCATCTTCATTCTAGGGCCCATGAAACATGTCAGCATTGGGGTAAGAGATTTTCATGTAGTTTTGTTTCATAGATTCATTGGTGCTTCTTCAGTTCTGGTAAAGAATAGCCATACTTCTCTGAGAAAACTGAAGAGATTCCTAGTCCATCATCTTCACCCTGTATTCAGGAAGACAAAACTACACAGGTTTTTCAAACAAAATTACATTAAAGAAAGCATCAACTTTAATAATAGGTAAGGGGAAATTGCAGCTCTAGGCAAACCCACTGAGAACATGGTCATGCCATGTCTAGGAAGGTTGTTATTTCATTGAGGGTTATTTGAGACATTTTATTTTGGCATTCTCATTGATAGTTTTTATTTTTCAAATATTTATTCTTTTCTAGGGTGAAATAACTAATTTGGTATTCTGTGGTTTCATGTGAAAAAGTTCACAAGACAGAAAAGAAACATAAATTCAGGTAAGAATAATTATAAAACAATCATATCTATTTTAGTCATATAATAAGATAGCCAAGAACGTTTTCCATCTCCTTACAATGTTTTTCTTGAGTTTTAAAATGTGCTATACCATAAATGAAAGAATATCACAGTAGAAATAAACCTCAGTAACTTATCTTTCATTGCATGGCAGAAAATCATAGATAGCTAAATGTGGCTAAGAATGTGATAATTGATTAAAATATAGTTCTGGTAATGTTGACAGTTTTCTATAATCTTAATCTTTCTTGTTTCACTGCTTAGAAAACCTTATTGTCACAGTAATTCTCTATTACCTCTATTTCGATTTTTTCAGACCTAAATTGGCTCTTTATTTAAAATTCTTTATTATGAAGATAAACTTTTTCATAGTTTATGTTCTATACTTTTGCATGAAAGATATGACACTACTTAACTGTTATATATTCCATTGCTCCAGATTAGAATCATCAGCTCATCCTCACAGGTACATTGTCAGCATTTTCTACTGTTAATGCAAACATCAGGACACAATATGATACCGTGCATCCTATCATAAGTTAATGGGACATTTAATTCTTTTTGGTTTCATTTTTAGTATCAAACACTATACTTGGCACAGAATAGATTCTTAAAAATATTGGCTAAACACATTAATGGATGATCAGACAGATGGAAATGGATTAGATTCGAAAAAGTAATATGCTGCTTTCTTTGATATAGGCTTTAAAAGGTAGCATTTGATTTGGAATAAGAACTTCAAACTTTTTCTCTTCCCTCTTCTCCTTTCTCCCTCCTCCTGTTCCTTGTCTTCCTCCTTCTTATCTTCTTAAGTAAGATAAAAATGACAAGGCCTGTTAAGCTTGACATTGTAAACAACTTCATTGAGATACCCTTGATCCATGAAAATTGTATGTATATGCTTCAGGTGTAAATCCTGATGTTTCAGGGCACATATACATTGCTGCTGTGGTGAAATGATCACCACACTCAAACTAATTAAGTCACACGCTTTTTGACTCATTGGAGAAGCAAGAGATATGCGTGAAATTACTTTAGCATGTCTTAAAAGTCCTTCCTATTCTCTGTAACAGACCTCCTTTTCCCATTCTAAACAAACAAATAATGGCTGATACATGAAACTATTTCTATCTGGCTTTATGCCTTCAAAGATTCATTCTATTACTTTTAGAAGAAATTTTAATTATCCTCAGATATGCTAACCTATAGACCTAGTTCCTCTCTTCCAATAAAATTAAATTACTATACATTTATTTGAATGGATTGATAGGCATCATAAAGGGATTAGGGTGAGGATAGGGACTGAAATAGTATTATTATGTTCAACCATTTTTTTTTTCTGTTGATTTTGTGACCTTTCTGGAGGAAGATGTTGAGAGAGGTAACACATGACAGATGCAAACAGGGCCATGCAGGCTTTGCAAACTGAGGGACTTTTGTAGAACTCAGGAAAACAAAAGAAGTAAACTTCTGGTTGAGGGAGGATGGAGAGTCACAGAGAAACTCTGAAAACTCTCTAACTTTGCTTGCTAGCTCACTGCCTATTTCAGCTTTGGCAAAGAGTTTCTGGTTCATTTGCTGGTTTTTAATTTCCATATAACTTAGAAAAAATGAATGACATTTGGTATAAATGCTACCAAAGAAGAAAATATATGGTAGGGCCATCCAAATCATTGGACAATTTATAATGACTCTGTTGTTTCATAAAAAATTAAAAAAAAACCCTAGGCTGGGCACAGTGGCTTATGCCTGTAATTCTAGCACTCTGAAAGGCTGAGGCAGGTGGATCACTGGAGCTCAGGAGTGAGACCCTGTCTCTATTAAAAATAGAAAAACTGAGGCAAGAGGATTTCTTGAGTCCTGGAGTTTGAGTCCATAGCTGTGAACTATGATGCCATGGTACTCTACCTAGGGCAAAAGAGTAAGACTCTGTCTCAAAAAAAAAAAAAATCCTCAGAAATATTTCAAAGTAACCAAAGTTGTTTTCATTGCTTAACAAGTCACCCAAATCCAAAGTAATCCAAAGTTGTTTTCGTTGCTTAACAAGTCACCCAAATCACCCAACACCCAAATAATTTGGATGTTTTAGAGAAGTTAATGCTTATTAATACTTCTATATTTACACACACAAACACACAGACATATATAAAGTCATAATTCACATTTTACTTTTTTGCTTAAATAAAATTATACTAGTTCCAGGAGCTAGAGAGTTACTGCACTTTAAAAGATCTTTAAGTAATGCAATTAACTCTGGTAATTTATTTATAGCTGTAAGAGCTCTTTTGGTAGAAAGTTCGTGTTACCTTAGATTGTACTTTTAGCTTTCTTTTTCTTTACTTTTTATTGCTACATTGAAGCAAAGGGTCATTCAAAGAAAAGTGAATATTGAATAATAAATTAAAATGCAAGCAAGTACCTTTTTTTAGTATTAGGAATTTAACAGGTGATACTTTTGAAATTACCAACTCAATCACAAATGGCATCTCATAAACCATTTTATATGACAAGGTAGGGTATGACAGGGTAGAGATATAAAGAAGTATTGAACTATACCGTGTTGAGATTACCACTAGTCTGGATACAAAACACTTCATCTTGAGTCCATATTTCATTGTTAACCAGTTATCTTCCCTTAGGCCAATCTCATGTGTGTAAACTTAATGGAATAGTGGATATGAGTGTGTATGGTGACTATAAAATCTTAATAGTAATATGAACTATTAATATTAATATTTGTGATAATAGAGAAAGAGTGGAAAGTTTACCTGTTGACTTTGTCTTATACTTCGAAGCAGGAATTTGCCATGGGTGACAAGGGAGGAGGCAACCATTCAGACGTGACTGACTTCATTCTTGTAGGCATCAGGGTCCGTCCAGAGCTCCACAGTCTCCTCTTCCTGCTATTCCTGATTATTTATGGGATGGTCCTTCTGGGGAACCTTAGCATGATTGGCATCATTGTGACTGATCCCCGGCTGAACACACCAATGTATTTCTTCCTAGGCAATCTCTCCGTCATTGATCTCTCCTACTCCACTGTTATTGTACCCAAAGCCATGGTCAACATACTGTCCCAGAAAAAGACCATATCCTTTGCAGGTTGTGTGGCTCAGCTGTTCCTTTATGCACTATTCATGGTAACAGAGGCCTTTGTTCTGGCCGCCATGGCCTATGACCGCTTCATTGCCATCTGTAACCCACTCCTCTACCCTGTGCGTATGTCAAGGAGCGTCTGCATCCAGTTAGTGGCCAGTTCCTATCTCTGTGGCTGGGTCAGCTCCATCCTTCAAATCAGTGTAACATTTTCCATGTCTTTCTGTGCCTCCCGGGTCATTGATCACTTCTACTGTGATTCAAACCCAATTGAAAAGATCTCCTGTTCCAATATCTTCATCAATAAGATGGTGTCACTTAGTTTGGCTGTCCTCATTATTTTGCCCACAATCATTGTTATTGTAGTATCTTACATGTACATTGTGTCCACAGTTTTAAAGATCCGTTCCAGTGCAGGGAGGAAGAAAGCCTTCTCCACTTGCACCTCCCACCTGGGCGTTGTAAGTTTGCTGTATGGGACTGTGTCCTTTGTGTATCTCACACCTCCAAACAACCCCGAGCTTCGTAAAGTGGCCTCAGTATGTTACATTTTGTTCACACCTATGTTGAACCCTTTAATCTATTCTCTAAGAAATAAGGATGTTAAAGACGCTGTGAGAAAAGTCTTAGGGAAGAAAAAAGTTTTGCTCTAAATTTGCTTCTCCTTGCTTTACTGTTTCTTGTGTCAATTGATTTTGTCTGCCCTATCTTCTAGATTTAGGTATTTCAAGTTCATTTTTTTAAAAAAGAAAAACACCTTAACCTTTCTGTTCTACAGCATGAATACTTTCCTATAAAGTATGCTCCAAATAAATTACTTGCTTATTTCTTGAGGCAATGCTAAATTTGAATGTTCTCAACATTTATGAAAAATTTGCTGAGCTTCTGCAAACAGTTATGTATTTGTCACTCTATTTCTTCCTCCTCAGGTAATAATATGTTAGGGGAATGGAGAAGTGTAACATTTTATTGTTTCTCTTTGTGCATGCCTAAGTAGCATTTGATAGGGAAAGTACTTTATACAATGATTTACTTGGGAACTGTGTGTTCCAACTGGTTTGTATGCAACTGAGGCTTGGTATAAGTGCTGGTGTTGTGTTTAGTTTTTGATGACATGCCAAAGAGTGATAGCATATGTGTGTGATGAAAAAGAAATGGAAAGGAAAAATAACCAGAGCACTCTGTGTCGATTAAAGAAGCGGAAGACACTTTGATTTTCTATCGGGACGTACTGTGTAGTGTTCTCTAAACTGCAGCCATCCCTGCATTACTCTAATGTAATGAAAACAGCTTACGATATTTGTGTTTTTCAGCTCATGGCTTCTATCTTCTGGATAATATCAATTATTGGTTTAAATATGCAAAGTAAAACTTCTATATTAAAATGAAATCAGCTCGAAAGTCTCAGTTAAAAATATTACCAGACCTCACAATCCCTTCATGAACTGTTAGATCATTGTGTGCATGTGTGTGTATGCATGTACGTGTTTGTGGGTGTATGTGTGTGGGTGCCACTTTGGTTACAGGTGATAAAAAATGAGGCTTGCCTTAAAAGTCAAATGTCAATTTGAGAAAAGAGTAATTGAGAGACCTTTCTACAGCTTTGACAGGTCCAAGAGAATCCAGGTTTGGGGTTTTTTTTTGCAGTTTTTGGCCAGGGCTGGGTTTGTACCTGTCCCCTCTGGCATATGGGGCCAGTGCCCTACTCCTTTGAGCCACAGGTGCTGCTCAGGAATCCAAGTTTAAGAGAAAGTTGTGCTGGAGTTACTGCTCTGCAAGAGATTTAAGTATTGCTTCAGATAAACAATTACAAGCCCCAAGTCTAGACAGTGTCATCATAGACAAAACTAAAGCTAAATGTAAAATACAACTTCCAGTTTTGTCCATAACTTGGCATTGTGAAAACCTAAAATAGCGATCCTTGATTAGATTTTCCTGTGTTTTTTTTTTTTAATTTGTTTTTTGCCTCCTTTGAGGAATTCACAGCAGCATCGTGCACCTTTGGAGGTTACATTTTATTAGGAAAAGGGACTTGAGGATAATTATTTTATGTAAGGAGAGCAGCCAAGAGACTTATTAAATCAAGGTTATATTTATCTCTGCATCCCTAACCTGCCAATCTATCATTTTTCTTGATGCTTAATTTTATCAAAATACTGTTTAACAGAAAAAATAAGAAAGCAATTCATCTGGGGAAAGGGTCTTTGGTATAGATGATTATTTACTTGGAAGATTCCTTTTTTAGGCTTAGGTTTTATTTATATCCTCATTTTAGCCTTACATTGCTATTCTTTAATTTATCTAACAAGTGTGAATTATTAAGGACTGTTGGGAAAGACACGAACAGATTGTATGGAAGTTCAGCCCAGATCCATTTGCTTTAGTTTTAAACATGGTGAACTGCGTAGTTGCCACTCTCCCGCTTTGTAACCATGAGAGATACAGTATTCCAGTGTATAACCTCACAAGTGGCATTGCTAAACCACTCCAGATGTTCAAAGAAATCTGGAAAAGTCAGAAGTCCAAGTCAGAATGCTTTCAGAGGTATTAAATTCAGCTATGTCCTGCTTCCTTTTAATTGCCATAAACATTTTCCTTGATACATTTTTTCAGGGTTCATGTGCTTTCCGTGAAAAGTGGTGCCTCATTTATAACTTTCTTGTTCCTCGTGCCATCAAGATTCCATTAGGACAACCAACGTCATACCAACATTTTATTGGCTCTCATTGACAAAGTATTTTCTTTTCTTTTCTTTTTTTTTATTGAATGGTAACTATGTACATTAATGCACTTCTGGGGTACAGCGTGGGGTTTTCACATGCAATCCGAAATACTTCCATCAAACTGGTCAACAAAGCCTTCAGACAAAGTATTTTCTTTCTTTATGGTAGAAAAAAGGATTGCTTTTGGAATATTGCTACATTCAAGACAGTCTGAGATCCCATTTTGTATCCTATATATCACAAATTGTGGTTTAGAGGGGAGTTTAAAACTATGTACCCAAATCCTTGTCAAAAGGCTTTTAACGCTGTATGATGATTTTGTGAGCCTGGAGATTGTATTAGGCATCTTAAACACTCTGACCTTATTTGTCCTGCATTGTTGCATCTTCTCTGGTTACAACTTTTTGTGCATGAACATAATATTGATTGTTCTGTAACACTGTGGGCTATACTTTGCCTTTGGATTTGGTGTATTGTTGATATTTGCTAATATTTAGTGTATCAATGCAGAGCTTTGGTGAGGGTATTTATAATAATTCATTTCATTGCCAGAATGCTAAGATTTTTTGACTGGGTTGCAAATGATAAGTAAGCACTAATTTAAACTTCACAAATCTAAGTTAAAATTACCAAATTAAACATTGTGTCCTACCACCAAAAGCTTGCTCCATTTGCCTTACATTAAGATAGTTTCAACTCTTTATTGTTAGATTAAAATTATCATGGTGATTGGAATAGCAATAGTGATGATAAGGTATTGTAAAATGTTTTAGTGCTGACTTGGTATCAGCACTATGTTATTCTTACTCTTGTAAATTGACAATAGGATGTCACTTTGTCCAATCCCATGATACCAGTAGAGGTCATAGAATAAATAAAAATTCTAAGTGTTATAAACTATTATCCTAGTGATATCGTCGATGACAAAACTACTCTTGGGGGCTAGAAAGGGAGAGGGAATAGAGAGAAGACATGACTTATGATAAAGGCAGGGTGTCCCGACCTGAAAACAACATGGAGAAAGGAGTTCATTTCAAGTCACTTCCGAATTTTCCAAATTTGTTTACAAAAAAAAAAAAAAAAAAAGACAAAAGAATGAATTAAAAACAAAACCTTTAGCTGAAGACTGATTTCCACATTTCTTACTTTTATAGAATATGGCTTATAGATTTTTGAAATAGTTTCTTCTTCTTTATCAGAACTTTATTTATTTACTTAGACAGAGTCTCACTGTCACCCTTGGTAGAGAGCCATGGCTCCATAGCTCACAGCAACATCAAACTCTTTGGATCAAGGGTTAACTCTTGCTTCAGCCTCCCACGTAGCTGGGATCACTACTTTTTTTTCTATTTTCAGTGGAGACAGGGCTTCATTCTTGCTCAGGCTGGTCTTGAACTCCTGAGCTCAAGCAATCCACCTGCCTCCCAGAGTGCTGGGATTACAGGTGTGAGCCACCATGACCAGTCCTTTTAGCAGCATTTTAAAACCATCCATTTGTTCACACTTATTGGCCTTCTGGTAGTTGGCATTGGTTTCTGTAGCAGATGTCCTATAGTTAGGTGTCTTTTGTGATAGCGACATAAATTAACTTTGGACGACCTGAACAACAGACAAATATTTGGAAGTAAACATATTCTTTTGCTCTGGCTGCAGAGAGAATAAGAGTTTCTGCTAAACATTCCAGGGAGCTAGAAAACAGAAAAGAATTTCCAAACAGAATCCAAACTTGTTAAACGTCACACTATTAGAAACATTTCCTTCATTAAATTTCAGACTCGTTTTCCCTCTGTTGGAAATTTCCCTCATCCAGCGAATGAGACAGAAGGGTTTCAGTTTTCAGCATGTGTCCATTCATTTTCTTGGGGAGGATGAAGCTCCTAGTTGAAGCTGCAAGAACCTATATACAACTGAAAAGAGCAAATTCATCTAAAAAAAATCGGGGTAATTTTCATAAGAGAAACCTGATAATGAATAGACTGACTCAATAATTCTCCTAAATATTCATTTATTTTACTGTACAAATTTTACATGGTTTTGCTTCCATATACATAATTCCCAAACCTCTAGCATCTAACATAACGTCTATTCATGTCTTTGTCACAAATCATTGTCACGACCCTAACCCTAAGAAACATGACCTCAAATATTGTTCACTACTGTATACAGTCACCAGTCTAATATCCCCAGTTGATTCCCATTCCTTTGTTAATTAGCTGAATATCCTGTCCTAATATTCTGTAATTTATATACTAATGGTAAGTCTAGCTATTGCCATCAGTACTATAATTAATAATAAAATTTATAAATAAATCTATATTTACATATGGATGAGAAAACATAAAACAATTCAATTAAATATTAAGATATTTAAACCTTCCTATAATCTTTTGTGAAAGTAACTAGCCATGAGCTCATAGTGCTTATTATACATTTCTTAGCTATCTTCTATATTTGATCCCTCGCCTTTGATCTCAGATACTCAGATTTCTATGTCTGATGAGTTTATTCTAATCTGCATCCCTAAAGGGTCTGTGTCTTGGATGGTCTTAGTTTTGAGGGGGACCAGTAGTGTAGTAGACACCATTGTTTGCTACATTGTAGGCATTTTCTTCTTTCTTCTGACAAATTGTGTGTCAGAAAATTTTCTACCATCAGCAGGACACCTTTAGTTTTTTTTTTTTTTACCATGTTTTTAATCTCTTTTAGTGATAAATAGTTTAGGAAGGGCAACACTTACTATTAAAATATATTTAAATAAGACATAAGAAATAGTCTGTTGGAGAGTTTGGGAAATATATTTATTTTTCCTTATTTTAAAAGAGGCAGAATTAATGAAAAAGGATCACTTCTTCCTTCCTTTTTGGACCATGTAAGAATAGAGAACAGCTTGAGGTGGGCTTTCTATTGCTATCAAGGGGAAACAAATTGAT